TACCATTTTTACATTGACTCCAATTTTTCACATTAGAGCAAAATTCAAAATGCTGTCAAAAATTCATTTTTTGAGATAAAATTCTGAAATTTGCCACACATCATCTACCATGACTCTAGAATTTTGTCTTTTTTCCATGAACATTGAAGATTTATTTAGCAAGAATTTGCATGTATATGTTTACAGTACCGTTTACAGTCAAACATTTTGATGCACTGTAGGCTCAATTTTTGATAAATCAAAAATCTGAGAAACATAGTTTTTGTAGGAAAGTCTGAAGATGCTCTGTAGCAAGTTTGGTGTCAATTGAGCAAAAATTGTGGGAGGAGATAGGTTTAAGAAGTTTTACAGTTTTTGAAAAAAGTGATGAACTTCATAATTTTTAACAGGTTTAAATGTACAAAAGTTTCTTCAGTATTGGGGCTACAGTTTGATGAAAGTTGTGAAGTTGTAGCACGTATGGTTGATTTGTTATGAATTTTCAAAGTTTTGAACTTTAGACGCTTGCTGTAGCGCCACCATCAGGACTATTGGCTTGAGTTTACAGCTGAGGATATCTGGCATGAGACTGGACCTTTGTGCAAAGTTTGGTGAGTTTTCACCCATGGGAAGTATGATTTCCTCTGAAGAAGAAGAAGAAGAATACCTAGGATTACAATAGTGTCCTGGCAGCTTAGCTGCCCGGACCCTAATAAAACAAATAAGTTGTGAGTGAGGAGAGTAAGACAGTAGACGAACACTGTAACCTGCATGTTGTCTTTGAGCAGCAGGTGCTACAACAAAACCCAACCCAATCACCTCAATAAGTGTTGGCATTGTACATTTCTACAAACCACGGATATGTTAATTTGCAAATGATTATGTAGCAAATAAATAAGTCTCGCCTGACTGAAATGCAGTGATGTCTCTGTAAAAAAACAACCATTTTTCGTGGCAATATCCCCGGTGGAAAAACACTGATAGGTCAGAAAATACACAGTCCCTAAAAACACCTACGTTTGGGGGCTAAAAAACACAACACAATCTGTTTTGTTGTTTGTTGGTCTTGAACAGTGCTCTGCCGCTCACAGCCGTATACATGGTTTGCAGAAACATAAAATGTTTAGCAGCTCAAACAAAACTCCATCAATCTGCACTCTACTGGGTGAAGGCAGAAATCTCAATGGTAGATATTTCAAACCCTCAGAAAATAACATTGAATCTATCTATGGTATAATATGACTGTAGTGATTGGCAGAGTAGTGGTCCATATGTTTACATCACTTCCTGGTGACAGAGTGTAACACAGTGACAGCTGGTGTCTCTTCAGGACTCAGAGGGATGAAGAGGCGTCATTACAGGCCGAGCAGCTCTCTGAAGAATAAACAAATCCTGATGGCCTGTTTTTATCTATCGGAAGCTGATACGCCAATATCTTCATCCTGGATCTGTCCTAGTCTCCTCCCCTCGCTCCTCTGTCTCCTCTCAGTATCAGTTTACTTCTCGTCTATCTGTTACACTCACATCTCCCACCCTGACTCCTTTTCTTCCCTCATCTTGTTCCCTTCATTTAACTGATTCCCAAACCTTCTCCTCTTACTTCCTTCTGCTTTTCTATGGTCCGCTTTTTCCTCTCAGTTCTTCCTTCTTCTCTCAAAAGACCCTTTATGTAGTATCATAGATTAAATAAAGAATAAACGATCATCATGAGCATTTACTATTTCCTCTGGCGTCATGTCTCTGACAGCAGCACTGTATTATATCATTTATGTCAGATCAACAAATATTGAATACGTCACCAGCTTTGATAGGTATTCGGCTGTCACTGCCACCTGCCATCTAAACACGTAGTTATGTTGAGTTCTTTCATCATTTTCAGGCAAAATTCAGTCTCTTTGTCGCTCCAAAAATGGGAAGCTCTCGTTGCCGCCATGTTGCTTGTATATCTGGTGCGTCACTATGGCACCTACGCACAAGGAGGGCAGCCGTCAGAGACAGGGATAAGGCGTATAAATGATCCAGTATCCCGGCTTCTATCGGAGTACTCCAGGTGGCAAAACTGGGGTTCTTGAAACCGGGAAAAGGGCATAACCTGGTTTCTGAATTCGGGATATGGTGTTTACATGCACAAACACAAAAACAGGATACTTAAAAAACCCAATCAAAACCAGGATACTAAAGACCTTGTAAACACAGTCATTGACTTTGCAGTTCAAGGTGTCCTCTAAACTGTTTTACAGACGTCTCTTTTACAAAGATGGTTTACAAAAAAAAAAAGCTCTTTGGGCTGTGGGGATTTTTTTGGCTGCAATACCACAAGTGGCCACTGGGAAAAATTGGAAGCAAGGCTGGGCTGTTTTCCTGGGAGTCTGTGCGTAGTATTGACTGATCACGTTTGAGCGGCAGGTAGATGGTCCACGTGGAAAGCAAAAGAGGTCGAAGACATTGGCCGAAATACAAGCTCAGAACCTAATGGCTATCGTCTGATGATTATTTAGTTTTTTTTAAATCCACAGTTGTATGCAGATATCTGTTTATTGAGATTTAACCGAAATGATCGGCGCACAGAAGAGGAAGTCTTGGCCCGCTGGTAATGCCGGCGTCCCTGAAATACCATGTAGCTTTGACAAAAAATTATGGAAATTAATTATTTTGTTAACATTATAATTTTCATTTATTGTCGTAGGCCTAAAGAGATTCTTACAATCTTCAGCTGTCAAAGTGTGTAGCCTATACACCGATTAAAAAAACTGTCTTAAAATTTCATCAACTAAAATTTGCGTTAGACATCTGTGTCTTGGGGTTTTATTTATAAACAGTGTGTACGCACAAAACGAGGGCTGAAAGAAGCGTACGCCACCTCCCACGCAAAACTTGTGACATATAAAAACAGACTTAATGGGAGAAACTTTGACCCATGCTTACGAACATTTGGAGACGGACACATTGGCGACACAGATGGTGAGGTGGAAGCCTGATTGTAGAAATTATTGAATATTATTTGGCTCACCCAAGGCTGTGATACTTTTATGATGATGCTCAAATATGTTTTGTGGCTCCAGACAGATTTTTTTTTTTCTTTTTGGGGGGGCCAAAAATGGCTCTTCTGTTAATAAAGGTTGCCGACCTCCGATCTAGAGGCTTGTTGTTGTCACACTGACAGCCAAGGGTTCTGGGACTGATCAGTTACTAACTCTGACCAGTTGAAATGTCGGCTGTAAAAACGTCTCAAGCAAAGAATGACTGTGAAATTCACAATTTGTTCAACAACAAATTCACCACATATCAACACATCTTCTCCACCACATATCTGCTGCCAATAAAGAACTGTTACTGTGCAGCTTCTGGTTGTGATATGAAATTGTGTCATTTAACACAGCGTTATTTTCGGCATCGGATGGAAACACTGTGGTGGAAAACTGTAACACTTACTGGGAAGAATGGGACTGCTACTGGGTGTACTGTGTGTTTGTGTGTGTGTGTGTGTGTGTGTGGGAGACATTTGATTTGAAGCTTTAGGATCTTAATCTGCACGTCTGTTTGACAGCCTCTACAAAGCCATTAGATCCCTGTCTGTGTGTGTGTGTGTGTGTGTGTGTGTGTGTGTGTGTTCTATCAGGCCTTAAGCCCAGCAGAAAGGTCACTGTTGAAATGTCAGCAGCAGTGGCAGCCCGACTTTCTGTCTGATGTCTTTATGTGTCCGTGGAGCATCTTACCGTCCGTCTGTCTGTTTGTCTGTTTGTGTTTAGGTGAAAGCATCTGAATCAACTGTATGCAATGATTGACACCTTCAGGTCAGCACGTGAATCATACACTGTGTAAAATAACGGATGTAACCACTGTGACGTCGCCAGCTGGTTTGTGGACTCCTGTTTTAAAGCATCAAGTCTGGCATTTTGGCTGTCGCCATCTTGTTTTTTAGAGCCAGAGGTGACCACGTTCGGATGAGAGGATGGATCTGACAGAGTTTTTGTTTAGTTGTTAATTTTAGTAATTCAATTGCTATTTTCTTTTCATTACATCCCAGGAAAGACGCTTTGTTAACATTTTAAAGACTTTATATACATGTATAAATCATAACTTTTGTTTATACAGCTTCCCTCATCCCTTGAGCCTGATCTGGGAACATAACAGTGTACAATAATTGTAAGAATTGTGAAGTCCTTGGAGGCAAAGTTGGGATTGTGGGCTGTAAGTCCTCTAATTTAAACAGCAAATATGTGAGTGGCTCCATGTTGTGTGTGTTTAGAAGTGAAACAAGCTTGCTGTGTCGGCCTATAGGCTGTTACTTTGGCATTTTCATCCTTTTCAACACTTGTGAGATTATATAGGCGACATTTAATGTTGAATAACTATGGATATAGTTATTCATCGTAGTTATGTCGTAGTTGGTTAGACAGTGCTTCCTAATCTAGGTGTGCCGTGGGATTTTGCGATAACCACGTTCAACTGGGCCTGTACAGAAAGTTATAAATGAATTTTAATCAACTGTATCAGTATGTCGTGTGCAATTTCATTTAATTAAAATAAAAATTAAGATTTTGGTTTGCCATTTGGTGTGCCTTGGGCAAAAGTTGGAAAGCCACTGGGCTCCAACATATTTATAACAATAATAATATACAAAAATAATGATTTATATATAAAATATATAACATATATTCCAGTGTAGAAACAGGCTGCATGTCAGGCCTACAGTTTATGGTGCAGCCTACAAAACAAACACAGCACTTTTTTTAATATATGAAAACATTAAATGACAGTATTTGTCACTCCACAGAACTGTTTGTGTTTTGACATGAGCAGAAAACCTGTTTTTATATTTTCACGTTTCTGAATATTTGGGTTCAGTCTGATACTTGACGCCCCTGCAGCCTCCTGTGTGTGTCTCTGTGTGTGTGTGTGTCTGTGTGTCTGTGTGTGTGTGTGTGTGTGTGTGTGTGTGTGCGTGCCCTCCTCTCTCGGTGCGTCTCTGCTTCTCAGGACGCAGAGCTCCGCCTCGGATGCTGCTGCTGCTGTTTATCTGATTACCGCGATATGAGAGCTGCGTCTTCTTAAAGCGACACGCCGCTTTAATTAATGAGACTACCGGAGAGAGGAGGAGAGACACGCCGAGGATGCAGATGAAGAGACGGAGCAGCGCCCGCCGGTCGCCTCCATCTTCTCGCTGCAGGAGGACGCCGCGTGTCGCCGCTTCGTTTCACCGCCCTGGGGTGATGATGCCGGCTGTAATCTGACCCTGCATGCCTGCAGAAAAGCCTCCAAGACCCCCCTCCTCCCTCCTCTGCTCTCCATCCTGCGATACACGGACTGTGGATGCGTCACAGCCGCTCATCCTGCGTCGTTTCTTCCGCAGACGCGTCGTAGCCTCCTTGCCTCATGTGTAGGTTATGAAATCGGCTGTAAAAACGCGGCTGTCCGCTCCTGACTCCTGCTGCACACACGGACTCTGTAGGCTTCATGGCTTCTGTTAATAGCGTCAATAATCCCGCGGATTGCGCGTCCTTGTTCGCCTGCCAGGCCTTTAACGTTTCTGCTCTCCTGTACGCCGCCCATGCGTTGCCGCCGCCGCGCCGCGCCACCTCCTTCCATGGACTCTGAGATCTAACGCGCGCCGCCTCCGCGTCTACGCCCTCGCCCTGCCGCTGATGCGGTGCACCTGGGTGCTCGCTGTCTCCTCGTCCTGGTCCTGGCCGGTCAGTGATCCTCCGGTCCGGGGGGGCTGGTGTCTGCAGAGAGGCAGGATGGTGCGGATCGCCAGCGCGCTGGGGCTGGTCATGTTCAGCGTGGCGCTGCTCATCCTGTCGCTCATCAGCTACGTGTCCATCAAGAAGGACTTTCTGCTCAGCACCCCCAGATACGGACCCAATGGAGGACCCAGGATGTCCATGTTCCATGCGGGGTTTCGGTGAGTCCAGGCCCGCCTGTGGAGCATCTGTGTGGGCTTTATGCTGACTGTGGGTTTGCATCAGATCAGCTGAGTGTTTGGATTTTATTTTTAGTTATTAATACATGCTGACAGGGTAGAAATATCAGCTGAGCGTGACCTAGACCTGTGGCAGTTTGTGGATGAACCTGACTGTCTTAAATCCTCATAAATGATGTTTTATATTGTTTCTCCAGATGAACAGTGGCAGGGTGGAGCAATCAAATCAGAAATATACATCAACTTTATCTCCTGGCACATCTTATCTGTAGCTCAGGAAGCTGTAGCTCTGATCAGATAAAGGCCTCTCTGCTGTCTGAGGCCTGTCAGCCCACTGACTGCTGCTGTGCCTTCATGCAGTATTTGTCCTTTGGTTCATCAGTGTAAGGATATGTTTTTAGTTTCTCAGAGCAGCCTGTATCACAGTGTTCACTCTCATCATTTAAGGGCAAAAATACTAACATAATTTAGTGTACTATCGTTCTGTGGTTTGAGCCCCACAGTTACAATAAAGAGAAATTTGTAATGCTAAAGCACACAATGACAGAAAGTTTTTAACATCTAATTCTAATGTTTTAAAAATGTTTTTCTTTGAACAATACATAAAACTACTTAGCAGTTTGGTTAAGGTTGGGGAAGGTCGTGATTATCGTTATTAAAAGTAAACATTAATTTTTGGATTGTGATGGGGCAAAACTTCCGGCTATGTGCACTACATGCCCGTCCACCATCCCGACCACCACGCCAAGCAGCAACCTCCACGACTGAAAAAACGAGAGACGTGTAGCTGCAGACACATTGCGTTTGTAGCGTACATGACAAATCGCGCCCACCACTAGTGCAAGACAAACCCACCAACGCAACGGCTATCAGAAAACTGTAATGAATAGTTGAGACCAAAATGTGGCAATAATCTACTTTATTATTTATAACACATGAAGACTTGACTCACTCGATAAGTAACGAGATGTGTCCCTTCCTATTACCCTTACCCTAACCCCAACCACCTCTCTTTTATCATAACACTGCATAGCTAATGCTCTTTAACCGCTAACGTAGCATTAGCATCAGTAACAAGATGTAGCCTTCCCATTACCCTACCCTAACCTAAACTGCCTCTCTTGTAATGTAATACTTCATAGCTAACTAATCGCTAACTTTGTGTTAGCATATTAAATACGATATAGGCTAGTCTAGCCTGCCCATTGCCCTTATCCTAACCTTAACCACTGCTCTTTCAACATAATACTCAATAGCTAGCTAATTGCTTAGCATTAGCATAAGTATTGAAATGTTGCGTGCCCATTACCTTTACCCTAACTTAAACAACCTCTTTTCTAACGGAATGCCTCATAGCTAACTAATTGCTAACTTAGTGTCAGCATATGTAACAAAATATAGGCTGTGTTTCAATTCAGGGGCTGCCATTAGTTAACTCAATATATAAGCGTCACAGTCGTGCAATGCATCTTGGGATAGGCTGGCCCACGAAGGATTCATCCGTTGCATCCTCCAAATTCTGGGAAAGGCTGCATTTCTCAGCAACATTTGAAGGAGCCTTCAAAATGGCACAGCCTTGGTTGCGCCAATGTGATGTAATCGGTTCAAGCCTTCGAAGGCTGCAACCCCTGAACTGAGACACAGCTATAACCTAGCCTTCCCATTACCCTTATCCTAACCTTAACCACCTCTCTTTTAACATAACACTTCATAGCTAGCTAATCGCTAACTTACCAATTTCGTTAGGACTTCAACTTGCGGGTCAAGGAGCGAAGGGGGCTGATCGTGGACCAACATGTAGGTGTGGTGGACGAGCCATGTAGCTAGAGGGTGGGTCACGTAGCTGCTCCAGCTGCAGTTATACCTGCTCGAAAAATGAAGCCAATGCGGATGTGCCAAAAACTGCAGTTCCTCTAATGGCCACTGGAGGCTGGTTCCAAGAGCGAGTCAATCCCCACAGACCCTCATGTTAAAATGCCCAACTTTACAGCCGAAATAAACATGTTTACAGCCTGGTACAAAAACAGTTTTGGTCTCTATAGCTAATTTCAACATTCATGACAACTGTGCAGGGTGTGAATTTATTCATAACTTACCTGTTTACATTTTATTAAGGTTTAAAGTCACACAGAATTAAGGGCGGCCCACTTAGATGACGTGGTGTCTGCCGATAGTGTTTTGTGCAAGCCCAGTGTACATGAATGGTCATTTGATGTGCGTTTTCAGGCGTGCAGGTATTGGATGGAAATAACTTCTAAAACAGTGCTAAAATGCTCAGTATTTTGATTTTAAAACGTTTTATAAAGACAGCGTATCAGTGTGGATGTGGCCTTACTCTCTGCCTTGGCCACATTGGTAGTGAACTTTAATTGTACGCTGTGGAATCGTCCAATACCTATGAATTTCTGAGGATGCTTGGCTACTTCCTGGCAACAGTTTGGGAATGGCTCTTTCCTGTTTCATGACAGTGCCCCTTGCAGAGAGCCCTGACCTCAGCCTCAGCTTTGGGTTTAACTGGAACGCCGTCTGTGAGTCAGACCACATCACCCAGCATCAGTGGGTGACCTCACTAATGATCTTGTGGCGGAGTGGGAGCAAATCCCTGCAGCCAGGTTCTGACATCTGGTGAAAGCCTTAAACCAGAGGAGAGAAGGCTGTTGTAGCGCCACATTAATGCCCGAAACTTTGGAACCAAATGATCATCAATCATAGGGTAGTAAGCATAAGGTGTCCAAACACTTATTAGTTAATTAGAAGCCAATCTGTGATGAATGGAATCGGAAACACGTGGATTTGTAACATGAAACTGCTGTGTTCAGTGGTTTACCCAGTTTAAATCACCTGGTGTGTTTGTTTTGGAGAGGAAGGGACCTCTGTGGATAATTCGGCTCCCGGTGAAATCCTCTTGATCGTCTGGATCTTAAGTTATCAGAGAAAAAAGGTGAGCCCAGGATAGCATGTGGCAAGCGAGCTGTTCATCTTTGACATGCCAAACAGTGGTTTCAGGGGTTTTACTGGTTTGAATTACCGCATCCTCTTGTTTTAAAGAGGAGGAGACTTCATGGATAATTAAGCCCCTCGTAAAAACCACCTGAACACTGAAGGAATTTTAACCGGGAGAAGTTTCAGCTGGTTGCAGTGTACAATCCTCACCACTAGATGCCACTAAATCCCCCCTAAATCTTACACACAGTTCGTTTAATTTCTTTGTGAAACAGTGGGCAAGTGCAGTGACTTCCTGGAGTCTCTCATTAGATCTAGATTGCCAGCTAACGGCACCTATTTAGTCCTATAAGAGCTGTTCGCCAAGCACATTGCCAGCAAGTTTTCTAGCTCCTGGGTTTACTTCTGGGATATGTGGCCTACCAAATATGTGTGCTTTTCCCCCTGGCCCCACCTACGAGTTCCCGCTCAGCTCATAGACTTTACATTGTGATGACATCATAGATTATTATTTGCTTTTCTGGGCTAGAGGAGAGTTTTACGAATATAAACCCTCCATGGATCAAAGAGTTATAAAAGGGCCGCCCTCTGAAGGTCAAAGATTCAAATCATCAGTTGGAGATTCTTAAAGTCAAGCGTTTTTTTTTTCTTCTTCTTCTTTTTGTCAGTCTGTGTATTTCTGGGAAAGTGTCAGTCCCTAGATTTAGCTGCAGAGTCCTCACTTTTACGCTGCTCTCCAGTACAGGTAGCTGCAGACCCTGACCCCAGCAGTGTCTGAGTGAGATGGAGGCAGCTGCCAGGAGGACGAAAGGCTTTGCCCAGTCAAAATGCAGGCAAGGGGGGGGTGGCATTGGTGGTTAATGGAGGCAAAACCGCAGTAGTACGTTGCTTTTTCACCGCTGCAAGAAAATATTAGGGTTGCAACAAGATTTTCAGGGTATGATAACCGTCTCATAAAATTTTGCAGTTTCACGGTATTAAAGAATTTACATTATTATTAGTTAGAATGATCCTTAAAGGAATGAAAACAGAAGGGTTATTGTTGGTTGAACAGATGTTTTATTACTATAATTGAAACTTGAAATTATTTTGTTAATGGAACTATGTGTAAAAAGTCTCCCCTTGCTTAATAACTAAAATTAAGGGGAGATTCTCTGTCCAGTTGCATTCTTGTTTTCAATGTCTAGATAAGCAAATGTACAGGGTAAGATAACCATCAGCTTTTATATCACGGTAGACCTTAAAGGGCAATTTCGGTTTATTTCAACCTGTCTCCTATTGTCCTAAATTTCTTTCAAGTGACTAGTGACATAAAAATAATAGTTAGCATGTTAGCCGTTAGCCTAGATACAGCCGGGGCGCATAGTAGCATCAGACCTGTTAAAACATAAGTGAACGGGCAACCTTCAAGTGCAAAGTTAGTCCACTAAACAAGGTTTTTTTCCACAAAGACCGCCTCATATCGTTAGGATAAATGTCAGAGAACATATAGAAAACGACATGTAAACGTGTTGTCTTACCTTACCGGTGTGCTGCCATGTTTGTTTACCATTTTTTAGCTAAGGCTGCAACCGGTCCCATTCCTTGCAACAGAGGCATTCCTCACAGGTACACCACCAATCTCTAGAGCTAGGCAGCCTTGTAGCAGCCATTCGTCCTCTACCTGTTGCGCCTCTCTCTCTCTCCTCCTCCGTTCTTCAGTTTCACGAAGCTCTTCGTCAGTGTATCCTTCCAGCTGTTGCTGCTTGTTCAGGCACGGTATGAGATCGCTGCTTGTTCTCGTGATATTTCGGCCGCGCTTTGGAAAGCAGAGCTAAATGGTAAACAAACATGGCAGCACACCGGTAAGGTAAGACAACACGTTTACATGTCGTTTTCTATATGTTCTCTGACATTTATCCTAACGATATGAGGCGGTCTTTGTGGAAAAAAAAGCTTGTTTAGTGGACTAACTTTGCACTTGAAGGTTGCCCGTTCACTTACGTTTTAACAGGTCTGACGCTACTATGCGCCCCGGCTGTATCTAGGCTAACGGCCAACATGCTAACTATTATTTTTATGTCACTAGTCACTTGAAACAAATTTAGGACGATAGAAGACAGGTTGAAATAAACCGAAATTTCCCTTTAAAACCGGTATATCGCTGCCGTCACAGCCCTCCATGGCAGTAAGTGGACTTAAGGAGAGACAGAAGAGCTGTGAGTAAATGTGCTGATCTAGTTCACAGCCGTGGGATTAAGTGACAGATGCCTTGTTTTCCTTCAGGCTGATACACACCGACTGAGAAAACATGTACCACCACTTTAAACCAGTTCATCAGAGCAAAGCTGTCTCCTCACTTAAAAGGCAATCAGCCAATCAGTGTCATCCATCACTGACATGAGAGATACGATGTACTCTCCCTGATTATGCTGTGTAATTATGATAAATGTATTAATGACATGTTTGCTGACTGTCAGAAAACATTAGCATATCCTATGACCACCTCCAGAACTAGTTTAGATGTTCAGATCCTCGGTGTCTGCATTTTTACTGCGTGTGTTTCCAGTCCAAACAGGATACTCCTGAACAGTAGGTCCACTGCAGCTCCATGGAAAATCATTCCGTAAATCTTTGTCGTCCGACATGTTGGGTCAGGTCCGGAGCGTGATGCTAAAACAGCTTCGTTCTGATGGAGGTTCTGGAGGCCAGCGGGCCGTCCTTGGATCTGATTTACAGCTTGAGAGCTGCATTCATTTTCCTCCTGCCTGTAATCATTTTCCCTCCTCGCTCATCGTCACCGCGGGCCAAGGTTACGCTCAGAGTGAGTTAGGTGTGAAGGAGAGAAGCATGTTGAGGAGAAAACACTCTGGTGGACAAGTCCATACAAGTTTCCTGCTGTGTTGTTGTAGAACCAGAGTTTACGATCAGGAACAGGGTGACATTTTAGGTTTTGCCAAGCCAGTCGATGGAGAGGGTGTTCAGTCCATCTGATGGTCTGTACTCTGAAGAAATGACTGGCCAGATTACAATGAAAAAGAGTATACCATCACTGTCAGGCCCAGATTTCTACTGGACTCTAAGGGTCGGATTTCCACAAAACTTACAGAACCCATTGACTCTGCAAGCTGTCACAGTGCATGGCTGTGCACCACCCATTCTTTGTACCTAGTCACTCATGATATATGCAATGCCTTTATATTAGATCCAGGACAGAAAGGTTTAAGCAGCAGGACAGTGAAGAATTTCCTCTATAAGATGACTTATACCCAGTTAGTTGTACTCAGCAGACCAACGTTTGAGGCAGCGGAGAACTACCCGAAAGTCATAAACATGAAGCTGGAGTTCTTTTTAGGTCTCAGCTGTATCCTTCATTGTGCAAATCACTTTCTGTTATCTGTTACTGTAATAAAATATGAGCTCTGTATAAACTAGGGCTGCCACTAACGATTATTTTCATTGTCGACTAATGTGTCGATTATTTTTTCGATTAGTCGACAAATCATTTCATCGAAAAATGTGTTAAAATGTTGAAAAATGTCGGTCTGTCTCTCCCAAACCCCAAAATTACGTCATCTAATGTCTTGTTTCATACTCACACCAAAGGGTTTTAGTTCACTGTCACGGGAGAGTGTGTAAAGCTGCCAATATATGAAAGTAAAAAGCTGCAGTAAGAGTATTTTGGGGTACTTTTATACTACTTTTCTATGAAAAATGACTCAAACCGATTAGTTGACTACTAAAATAGTCACCGATTATTTTAATAGTCAATTAGTCATCGATTAGTCGACTAATCGTGGCAGCCCTAGTATAAACCATAGATTGTACAACAATAATGGATGTAGCTACCATGGTCTCACCTATTGGTTTGTGGACTCCAGTTTTGAGGCAGACAGCTCCTAATTATGCGTAACTTTAAGCCTTAATAAAATGTAACAAGTGAGTTATATGAAAATTCACCCCCTGTACAGTTGTCAAGAACGTTAAAATTAACTATAGAGACCAAAACTGTTTTTGAACCAGGCTGTAAACATGTTTATTTCTGCTGTAAATTTGGGCATTTTAACATGGAGGTCTATGGGAATTGACTCGTTCTTGTTCCAGCCTCAAGTGGCCATTAGAGGAACTGCGGTTTTTGGCACATTGTATTTAATGTATTTGCCTCACTTGTCAGCACCAGAGGATGCCATTCAAGACCTGTTTCCACCAGACACTTTCGGTATGGTACCTTTGGAACTAACAGTAACCCTTCAGACATGGTACCTAGACCCTAGTGTTTCCACTGCAGACAGTCCTCTTAAATGTGGGCGGGGTTGTTGTCACTCACTGCGCCTTCCAGCACTCACTGTGTTTCCTCCTTTATCAGTCTGCACCTGGTTTATCGTCCACTGAACGAGGCTGCACGCCCACATTTTCAGAACAAAATAGAACAGGCTGCAGTGAGAGTCTCTCTCCATGGGATATTTAAAAATAGCAGCTTTGTGCATTTAGTCCTTCTCAGGCAAGCTCAGGGGTTTAGTGTTGCTGGAGCCCACAGGAACAACGCTCCGCGACAAAATTAATATATATACGCTTGAAGATCCACTCATTACTAAAAGTGTCTGTCTTGTAAAAACTAAAGTGTCAAAGTTGTCACAGTGATGCATTATATCACAATAACGATTGTTTTGTTGTTACAGTAATATGGTTTCAAGTAAGTATTTGAAATGCACTTCACCTCTGCATGCCAGCTCTTCATAGAGTCTACTTCAAGTGCCCCATTCTGTCAGTTATTTTTAAAGTCACTGGTGATGATTAAGATAAGAGTGAGTTTGTTTTTTTTGTTTTACATTTTCCCTGCAGCGAGAGGCCGCCTCGCAAACCTGACCTGAGGTGAATACAGAGTGCTGACGTTTCAACTCAGAACACGAGGATCTACTCTGTCTTTCCTTGTCCTTTGTTTTCATATTGATATTTTTCTATGAGATCTATCTGTCTATCTATCTATCTATGGTCTTACACTGAGCATCAAACTGTTTGTGTCACTAACTCGACACAAAGCACTGAGTCTATGACCCTGACATTTCTCTGGAGCCTTTTGGATGGTTTGGTGTTGGATTGGAAACAGCATGAAATAAAAAAAAATAGATGAATGCTAAGAGTAAAGAGACTTGATACAAAGTGAGACTTTTATCTTCAGTGTGTTCATCTTTAGTATTTCCATCTTAGTCTGATGGGTAAATTCAGTATTTCATGCTGATCCTGATCCAGCGCTGCACCTCTCTCTGGCTGAGCATCACTGGCTTCAAAGATGGCAGATGCTGCAACAACAAAATAGCGCTGCTGGAGGTCTGACTGCCATCAGATCCAGGTCAAATAGTATTTACACAGACTGCTGAAGGTTTGTCTCAGTCTGGGCGGGCATCACAGAGGTGGGCTTTATCCATACAGGACAGTGTAAGTTACAGAATGATCAGACCTGTGACTCTTTCTGAACTGTCCTGATGAAGTAAATTCCACCGACCTCGTTCGTCATGCGAGATGAACCAAACTAAATGCAAATACTATTTGACCAGTTGTGTCTGCCATAGCAGAGTCTCGACCTGAAACCTTGACATTTTGATGTTTAGTCCAATGCAGAAGGAGAATAGTGTTAAGGAGGCAAGTTTTAAACCGACTTTCCAACACTGTGAACAATCCTCTATGCCAGAGTGGCTGAATCCAAATGTCCACCTGGACCTGTGGAATAAGTCCTCGCAAACTTCAGTCATATGTACTGTGATGAGTTCGCCGTAATCACGTTAAGTCTCCGAGGGAAGACACCTCAAGCTGCTAATACACAGTATTGTTTTAATAGGCTACAGTAACTGTTTTACATTAACATATGTTTTTTTTTTTTTTTTAGTCAGCTATTGAAAAACCCCCACAACATCACGTCCGTATTGCGATTGTGGGCAATTAAATCTGCTAAGTCTGTTGAAGTCCGCAGCCCAAGCGGACTCTCTGGAAGTCTGCAGAAGGTCCGCTTTAGGCCCCTTGTGGACTTGATGAACTGTGGATTTGGACAGCCCTAAGCACACCAAGACTTCCCAGGAACGCACCCACAAAGTCCGCAAGTCTGTAGCTGTGTCTCAATTCAGGGGCTGCAGCCATCGAAGGCTTAATTTGGAGACTGACTGCGTCACATCGGCGTGACCAAGGCCGTCCCATTTTGAAGGCTCCTTCAAATGCAGCCGACAAATGCAGTCTTCTATCCCAGAATTTGGAGAATGCAATGGATGAATCCTTCGTGGACCAGCCTATCCCAAGATGCATTGCGCGTCAGTGACGATTATATATTGAGTTAATTAACAACTGTTAACTAGCCAACGGTTAAATGTTGCTAACATTACTATTAGCTAAAAGCACACAGCTTAAATGATCTTAATTTAGTAAGTTTACCTGAAAACGGTCCATCAGCCTGAAATATATCAAACAGCTGGTGATGCAACCAAGAAATTCTCCGCAGACCAGACCGTCCCATTTCGGAGACCATTCGGTTTGGCTGATGGGGTCATCAAAGGACGTGGCCAATGTCGGCCGCAAAGGCCGCGCCCTTCAAAGGCTGAGACACAGCTTGGAAGTGCAGTGAAGTGCGGACATCTGGATTCAGCCAGAGTGTTGCTTTTACAGGAAGCCTGGACTAAATGCTGTTCTGACTTAAGAAGCAAGCCCTTCTACCACAAGACAGCGCCAGAAAAATACATCAAAAATGTCAAGGTTTCTGTGCAAAAATAAGACGTACAGAAAAGCTTACAAAATAATGATCACATTGTTATCATTTCCTGGTTAAGTCTTGGCTTTAAGGCTTTAATATACTCACTTGTAGCATTAAAGGAGTTGAGGCTTCTTGCACTGCAAAACAAAAGTGTTCATCTTATCAAGTGTGTTGAGCTCATGTTGGGATCAAATTTACCAACAAGGTGACGTCATCAGACTCCACATGGAGGTGAAAAGTCAAGTAATCAAGGAATCATGTCAAAGTGTAGATGTTTGTTTTGAAACCATCTTGAAAGTGAAGGAAGGACATTAATCCAAATTTGTTTGAAGGGAAAATATTGTCAAATTAACTCTGAATGACTTGCTAAGATGAACAGAATTCCTTTAACAGTTTGGCCTTATTGCTCATCTTCCCCCAGAAGGTTGATTTGATTGTAGATTAGAGTAAGCAAGTGTGCGTTTACACTGAGAGTGTAAATGAAACTGAATCTTTTTTTTTTGTTTTACTGCAGCTGCTTTCCTAAAGGAATAAACCTCTGTATTTATTTGCTGAACGGATCAAACATTTGCACATTTCAACCGGCTTCTTTTGGAGGCATTTTAGCTTTGTGAAGGAGGTGGTACTGACAGAGATTAGAGATTTTCTGCAAAGCCCGGATGAAGCTTTATTTTTTAACTTTTGGGTTTTGTTTCTACGACATGGAGAAACACGAGCAGTCAGGTGATCTCCCTTTCAGTTTTAGGGTATTTCACACCAAGTTTAAATTCGTGTGCAAGATATTTCAACCACGCAAGTAGATATTAAATTTGTTTCTTGGAAACCAAAGAAGTATTTTCATTATTGTCTGATTGATTGGATGGTCTAAATACTCTTATTTTCTTTTATTAAAAAACATCTGCTGCTCAGATGCATGATAAGAACACTAAATATAGCACGAATAACTGCACAATCTCATCTCAGATTTGGTGTTAATTTTTTTTTCCCTTGCAAAATTTCTGCATGCAATTTTTCAGCATTTCCGCATCGACACTTGAGTTTCAATGATCAGTGATCTCTTGGCTGACTGCTTGTGTTTCTTGGTCTGTCAGATAAATGATCTTTTAATGTTTGCTTTGCAAAAGTAAGGATGTTTTGCATTACCAACAATCCTTTTTTAAAGAGCTAAAATGCTCCTCAAAACATTTTGAAGTGCAAGTGGTTTGAAGCCGACCTCTCCTCAGCACAGGAAGACTGGGTTAACCTCTGTCTATCTATCTATCTCCTCCTCCTCCTCCTCCTCGTCTGTGCAGCTCCCAGCTGGCGTTGAAGTATCTGGATCCAGCTTTCACTCCTCTGACCAACTCTCTCAGCGAGGACCTGCAGAACTCCTCGAAATGGACCTACAACCATACTGCTTTTATACAACTCAAGTAGGTCACACACAGTCCCTCTGTTTCCGTGGCGTGTTTTGGATGTCCTTTGAGCACTTACAGCAGTAAAACTCTGTTGAATTTGTATCCAGCTTCAAATCTGCTTCAGTTCAAACCGTTCAAGAACCTGGTCCACTGTAGAACCGTTGTTTCTACAGTGGACCAGAGTGGACAAACCAAACACTGGCTCTAGATAGGGCCATCGGCATTTTTGCATAAACAGTGGATTTACACTTTCATTTGATGCCATGACACCCAAACAGACTTTTTCCCATGGACTAACATGGCAAAAGAGACATCTGCCAAGCAGTGGGTCCATTTTTTTAAGCGGCACAGCCCCTGCGAAATGACTTGCTTCACTATCAGAATTTGATCCATTCAGTCGATTTACATTTGGAAAGTCCAGAAGAGCTGCATGATTGAATTATTTTACTCCCCTTCAAGTTAGCGAAGGGTTAAACCAGACATAGATGGCTCAGCCAGCAGAAGTCTCAAGTGCACCTGCTCCATGGGCCACACAGTGCAGAAGCAGCACTGATCATCCTGGTAATTTTACTAAGCCACTGAGCAGCTTTCATAGGAATGAACATGCTCTACATCTTTAAATCTGACTTGTGGATAAGAACAGTAACAAACAAAAACTTATTTTTGTCTTGCAGAAAAGAGATCTCTCAATACATCGACATCCCCCACAACTTCACGCTGACAAGAGACTCAGTCCGAATCGGACAGCTGATGCATTACGACTACTCCAGCCACAAGTACGTCTTCTCCATTGGCGAGAACTTCCGTTCGCTCCTCCCTGAGATCTCGCCGATCCTCAACAAGCACTATAATGTCTGTGCTGTGGTCGGCAACAGCGGCATCCTCACTGGCTCACGCTGTGGCCCCCAGATCGAGAAGTTTGACTTCGTCTTCCGCTGCAACTTTGCGCCAACTGAGATCTTTAAGAAGGACGTTGGGCGGCGGACCAACATGACGACCTTTAACCCCAGTATCCTGGAGAAGTACTACAATAATTTACTGACTGTGCAGGACAGGAACAATTTCTTCCTGAGCCTGAAGAAGCTCGACGGAGCCATCCTGTGGATCCCGGCATTTTTCTTCCACACGTCAGCCACGGTGACGAGGACACTGGTCGACTTTTTCGTGGAGCATCGAGGTCAGCTGAAGGTCCAGCTGGCCTGGCCCGGAAACATCATGCAGTATGTGAACAGGTAAGACACCCAGTAACTCTGCACTACATTACAAAGACCCAATTCCTGTTCCTAGATAATGACGTCTTTAGATGAGCCTTTGCATTTACACCTGGTGTTAATAACCGTTCTTGTTATGTGATCAGATTCTAATTCAATTTGGTTGTCAGTATTCGTAATCACCTTCCAGCCTCCTACTTGTGAACATGACTTTTATATGTATGTGTCTGATGTTAGCTACTACTGCTTTGCTAGCTTGTGCTAGAAGGGCAGACGTTGAACTGACTGGGAAGAGAGCGGCTACAAAGACAGTTCTTTGGTGCTGCGTCTAACCTGTGTAAAGGCAGCAACAGAAAGTTTGCTGACTTTTCTTGTGTTCACTTTGAATTTCTGGCTTAAAAGGCTGATTAAAGCCTGTTTGTTGAATGAGTGAATTCCAAATTTCTCGTTTTTAGTTGTAGGCCAATTTACACTCCTAGTCTACAAGTATTCGAATATTAAAAATCACTTAAAATGCCCATCCCTAATCTCAAAATTCAAATTTGGTGGGCAAAGCTTGCAGACTTGTCAACTAACATAATATATCTCAAGTCCAAGGAAGTGTCCCTGCTATGGGTTATCCTTAAAGTTTTTGTTCTGTGGCCTTTCACAAGGCTTTCTTGAGATATCAGGGGCAGACAGAATTAGGTGATCTTTCAACTCCACATGTGGCCTGGCTGATCCAAATGCATTAACATACGCTTTCTGGTTGAGGGTGAGAGGCTGTCAGCAGATAAACAGAGATCTGTGTGGGTACATGAGACCCTAAAAAAGAGGCTGGATCATGGGGAGTACAACCAGTTGGTCCAGGAGCTTCTCCTCCATCATGGACGTTTACAGGCAGATTTTAGGATGACTCAGGGGCAGTTTGACAACCTGCTGTCTATCATCAGGCCGTATAGCTCTGGGTATCCAGCAACCGCTACCACCAGTTTCTCCTCCATTGTTTACCAACTGTTGTGACCACCACAGAAGACCCGCCTCTCAAATCATCCAATAGGACAATGGGGAAAAAGATGTTGAAAAAAGAGATGACATGGGACGCTTTTCCAGTCTGACCTGAAGTTTTTTAACACCAGGCACCTAAAGCACTGAAACATGAGGTGTGTAGCAACACAAAAACCACGAGAAAAAGCTTCATTCTCATTAAAAACAATTACAAAAAGCCGCCCCCAGCTGCTAAAACACTTTCTGTGTGATCAGGGCCTAAAACAGCCGCGCACTGTAATTTTAATTAAACAAACAGGAGGAAATGGGGCTTTTGTTGGGGACTATTATCAGTGGCAGATTAATCCACATTTGGCGCTCTAGTGAGTTTTTGTGGCAGCAGAACGGTGTGTGTGGGATCAAGTCAAAATAAACTACAGTGTGTTTGTTCATGGTAATAAAACAACATGTCACATAGTGCAACAGTGTGGCTCATTGATGTGTGTTTTTAGTTTTGGGATAACAGTGGAGCTCTATGGCACAGAGGAAGAAGATCAGTACACGTTTGGCCTTTTTAGAAAAGTTATAGATTTTCAAGCCCAACCCTGTATCCAAAAATTTTGTTAACGTCTATGTTGTGTTTTTTGCCAAATATCTGTCTGAGGAAAGGTAATTGCTGATTGGATTATGTTCCTTGTAGAGCTGAAATGATTGGTTGTCAATTATTAGATTAACTGCGAACTGACTTGTGTAATTTTGTAAGAAATAAAGTCAAAATTCTCTGATTCCAGCTCCTTCAATGTGAATATTTTCTGGTTTCTTTGCTCCTCCTTGACAGTAAACTGAATATCTTTGTAGTTGTGGACAAGATGAGACATTTGAGGACGTCACTTGGGGCTTTGGGAAACACTGATGGACATTTTTTTTTGCCATTTTCTGACATTTTAAGACCAAATAAGTAATGAATTAATTGAGAAAATAATCGTTGGTTGCAGCTCCATTTCAGTGGCAACTGTTTTTCCAGTCCAAATGCAGCGTAGTTTATAATGAAGTGGTCGGGGTGGGTTGCTGACATTGTCCTATTCTGATTCCTGCACCTCTCAGTGATTTTCTGCTCGTCAGAGTGGATTCCCACACAATTAGTTCCCATCTACATCTGGTGAGGACGGTCAAGGCTGTCCCCTAAAAATGACAGCATACATTACACATTCGTCTTTACTTTTATGTCCGTGATTAAAATGTCCCCGTGTATCTCTGTCTTGTTTGTAGTGGTTTGTGTGGTTGTATAGTATCAAGCTGTTCTCTATATGGCAAAGAGGAGATTTAGGCTCCAAAGCCGGATTATAAAGCAACAGCTATTTAGTGAAAGGTATGGCACAGAGCTGTAACTGTGTGTGTGAAGAGGGATTTAAGTCTGGTGCTTAGTGCTGGAGCAGAATAGGCTGCTCGTACAGTAGCTTAATCTTCACCAATCCCATTAAAACTACCTGCTCTGGAAGAATTACCACGTTTAAGCAGCTCAGGCGGCTTTCAGCACCTCAAGGACTCTTGGAGACGGTTTTGTCGAGGCTGGTTTGGAGAGTTCCCCCTCTGTGCCGCTGCGGAGCAGGACTGCCTGGTGAAAGCATCAGCAGTGGTCAGATTAGGGTTTTTTTTTTTTAACCATCAGAAGTCATTGCTTTTAGTAACAGCTTACTGACGAATTTTTGGTGAATGACTTCGAAATAATTGGACAAAATTGGACATAACTGTCATGTTTTTTGTTTGTTTCACTGAAATTCAGGTTTGTCCCTTTTCATGTGTCACACAAATAAATAAACACTTGCATATTAATCTAATTTATACTGTTTTAGGTGGGTGCATCACTTTGGTCTATTCAGGATTGAATTCAGGTGTTTTACCCTTTCAAGTGACTTATAATTTGAAAATGTAAGGCTCCTCTATAGCAGTGGTTCCCAACTGGTCCAGCCACATGGTCCAGATTTCTCCTTAGTCATTAGTTTAAGGACCACACAGTTAAATACATTCAGTGTCACACTTGTGTTTGGCCATGTCTTCAAGCTGGTTGCTGTCTCTGTTAAGTAGCTGTCTGTTAGTCACTCACTCTACAGCAGGAAACAGCAGTTCAAAATAAAAGCTCTGTACCGGAAATTCACTGTATTTAAAAATTAAAGTGCGTTTTTTTTACTAAGGGTGCTTTCAGACCTGCTCAGTTTGTTTTGATCTAGTCGAACTCAAATTCATTTGCCCCCTGAGTGTGGTTCGTTTGGGTTCTTCTTGAGCATCTCGACTTTAATGTCTAATTGTTCTCCTCACTTGTGCTCAACAGCTACTGGAAAACCAAGCAGCTGTCGCCAAAGCGCCTGAGTACCGGCATCCTGATGTACACGCTGGCGTCCGCCATGTGCGACCAGATCCACCTGTACGGCTTTTGGCCCTTCGGCTGGGACCCCAACACGGGAAAGGAGTTGCCGTACCATTACTACGACAAGAAGGGCACAAAATTCACCACCAAGTGGCAGGAGTCCCATCAGCTGCCTGCCGAGTTCAAACTCCTCTACAAGATGCACACGGAGGGCCTGTTGAAGCTCTCACTCTCCCACTGTGCGCAGGGCTAAAAGTGCACAGGTACAGCGCTCCTTCAGACTCCAGCGCTTCCACAGGCCAGAGTAGTCGGAATGATGAGGCAGACGAAAGGAGGATTTGTGTGGTTTTGCCAAAATCAAAATCTTGGCTCTGAGGCCAAGTTGGTGAAATGAGCTCTGGAACTGGTTTTAGCCCCAAAAAGCCCCGTTTGACAAACTGTTTGTACAGTTCAAGAAACAAGTAATATCATTTTCTACTGCTTAAGAGCTGAAAGATGAAAAGGACGACAGTTTAGGAAAAGTTGGCTGCAGCTGGACTTTTAGGCAGCGTTGCTCTTCAGCAGAATATCACAACCTTGAACTGCTTCATGGTGTTTTTATCACTTATCATTGTTAGGACTAAAGCTACAGATCAGCAACATTAAAACCAACATTAGCACTGCGTTAAAGAAGGCAGATCTCTCATTCATTCACAGTCTGGGTCCTGACAACGGGCGCCATGGTAAAATAGAGCCTGGCTCAATATTTGCTGCAATTTAGGCCTTGGCTACACGTACATGGGTATTTTTAAAAATGGGCTTTTCTCAAAAAGAAAATTTCCATCCACACAATCACTGTTAGAAAAAAATTGTGTGTCAGATGCCGCCGCTAGCACACAGTGGACACGTCACTGTGCAGCTCATAAACAGACGACCACGCACAGTCATTACAGCTTTTACAGAACGATCTGTACTTCCTCCACCTCTGCATTAGCATAAAATCATTTTTCTCCCGAAGAGCCAATCTCCAGAGCTTTGTCTCAGCGAGCGATATCTTTTTGGCCATTGTCTTCATAATGACAGGCTTGTGGGTCATTCAGCTCAATATATTTTTCGACCTCATCCATTCTTCGTCACACACCAGATACAGCAACAGAGTTCTCTATGCATCCGTTGGCAGGAGTCGAGCTGCCATAGGAGCAGAGAAAAAGAGCGGGAGTTTGTATGTACAAGCAGAGAGCAAGTGGGGGGGAAATGCATTTAATTCTGGGGGTCGTGAGGCTGGAAATACGACAGTGGCATAAAGGGCTATGGGGCGGCATGTCCAGGAGCGCCAACGGCAATGTAGGGTTGTACATTGAAAATAACAGGGGCGTATTTTTTTACATGGCGTTCGCCACCAGTGTGTTTTGGCCTGTAGTGTTCAATCTCTTACTCTTGTGATCAGAAATGATCTTAAGCTCAATTCTGAAATTGTTCTGTAAATAGTTTCCTCATATATAATAATTTAAGCAACTTCTGTTCTATATCTGATCCATCTCAATTTTAGGTTAAAAATAAAAACTTGCGGTTAGGCCACGGATACAGATTATTTAGTTGATAGAACAGATGCAGATAATGGTGCACTCACTCCCAAAATATTGTTCCTTTAAATTGCAAAAATGGATAAATATGAATTCGTAGTATACAGTTAATGTTACATATCTTAGCCTAAATGTATAGAAACATCTGTGTTTCTAAAAATACCTGCATACGTGTGGAGTAGGCCTCAACTGGTCGTTTAACTGTAGAGCAAATGATTGACTTTTCTCAGCCTTTCTCCGATAAGCCTTCAATTCATAAATCAGTTACTCAACACACCTGGATTGTATTTCAGTGTCTGACTAGTACCAGAAGCAACATGCGACAACTTACACAGGCCTTTGCCGTTTTTTCACGCAGTGCTGCATTTGGTCTGAACGCCCTGTACGTAAGACAGCAATGTGACTAGTTTGACTATAGCATCAGAGTGAAAAGGATGAGCAGAGATATTGGAAGCTGACTTTGATTTCAGGACATATCTCCCCCCGCTTCAACAGCTAACATCATCTATTGGCTTACCAATGATTGTTGAGCAGCTGAACAGGACAGGACCCGTGTTTGCTCCATTTGCAACGAAGAACCATACCTAACCACACATTAGTCAAATGCACAGTAATTCCCCAAAGCATCCCATTTACACATCCAGCAGTTATGGAGCAACATTATTATCGTTTAATCTGTTTTTGTGTCCAACTGATGAATGTAAACTCAATATTCACTCTTTTTGCTCTGTTTTTGGTCTCCACCAACTCCTGACAGAAATATTTGGCTGTTTAGCTGCTAAATGTTTCACTGTCATCACCAGCAAGTTGTTTACTTTGTCTGAAAAGCACAGAGAGACACATTTAAATATTGTGGATAAAGGTGGGGCAGTTTCCTGACATACGGCAACAAATCTAAGGAGTCACAACAGAGGCACCACGAATGAACGCTAGTTGTAATGTAGTGCAGGTACAGGCTGTGGGTTGTGTATAATTGAGCTAATGACATGTTGGTTTATTTTAAAAGTGACCGCCCTACTTTGTAAGGTTACTAATGTTAGCTAGCTGGTTGTGTAGCCAGCACTTTGCAACTTATCAGTAAGATGCACTTTCAGCCAGTATGCTGCCATTTCTTTCTTCTAAGTTGTGGTAATTTTTTGGTTTGCCCTATCACTTTTTTGTGTGTTTAAAAGAAAAATAGAGCTAGATAATTGGTGATATGTTAGAAAATAGCCTCATAGTCCCAGAGTCTTATAAATCACCCACCACTTTAGCCAGGTGGCTCCATTCACACAGTTTTTCTATAATCTGCTAATGCTAGAGCGCAGTAAATAAAGGGTCACTTCCCTACAGAAATATACCTTTATGTTAAAGAGTAAGATCCTTTTTGTTTAACCAGAAACAGCCCCAGAATCGCCAGCACCAAACCCACCAGACTACATTTAAATAAGCAGTAAATTTAGCATGTATAGAGGCAGCATGTTTTCACATCTAACCGTGTGAATTAAGGGTTTATTTCAAGTAGGGTTGCAGTGATATATACCGGTTTCACGGTATACCATGGTATAAAAGTTGACGGTTAGCAGACCATTTGCTTATTTACGATATTGAAAAAACTAATGCAACTGGACGTTGAATCTCCCCTTTATTTTATTCTTTTTCAAAGGGGCAACATTTTACACAAACTTCCATTAACAAAACGGTTTCAAGTTTTTAATTACAGTGATAAAACGTTTGTTCAACAAACAATAACCCTCCAGTTTTCATTCCTTTTAAGGGTCAATCTGACGTACAATAATGTAGATTCTTCCGTGATACCGTGAAACCGCAATAATTTCTGAGACCGTTATCGTACCATGAAAATTTCATACCTTTGCAACCCTATTTTCAACTAGAGTTGGTGGTTGTTGGAACAGTGCGAAGACAAACCAAGATGGTTTTTTAGGGGTTTTTTTTTGGTTCTGTCAAGTACTTAATGCAAAGTTACGCAGGTTAGCTTTTTACGAAAAAAAACCAAACACAGTTGGGCGTTTTGACATTACGTACTTAACGTAAAGTTAGCACACTCAATGTAACATGAGACATTGTATCTTCGAATAACTCACTTGGTTTCACATGAGACACAAACACCAGTGTCCTGGGAGAAAGTCCTGTATTTGTTAACCCATCCACCTCCCAAATCTGCCTCCTCACATGGACTTTGCTCTTTATACTACTTTCTTATATACTCCCAACAGCACATTGGTCACGTAATCAGAGCCTTTATGATTACGTGGGCTATATATGAAATCTGGTGCATTACTTTTCATAGGTATGAACACTGCATGAGAACAGCCCGACACGGGCAAGTGGTGTGGTAGTTAACCACGCAGTTCTTTAACAAGGCAATTATAATTAACATGATGATTATTAACATTAAGGGGGTCAGAGGTCAGGTGCATCAGCCCTGAAGCAGGTAGAGGTTCATTTTGTTGTTTAACAGGAGCAGGAATGCTCTTAGACACAAGGTTTTCAGGCGTATCAAATCTGAATTATCATATTTTACAAGTGCTTTCTTTTCATGTACTTTCATATTTGGTGCCGTGTGTTAATAAGACAATGAAAACGAGAGAAACTGGGACTATTTTTGTAATCTGCAGCTGAATATCAGCTGTGTTTCACCTCGTTTGTCAGTTTCATTCCAAAATGAGACATCTATGACTTGAAACGTGACATTTTCAGGACTTTGACAAAAAGATTGTTGGCATGAAGGTTAAACTCAATATTTCATATTACAGGTAATAATGTTATTTTTGGACTCGAGCACATTATAAACTCCTTAACAGGATGTAAATGCGTTTTATTTTTGTCTTCTTTTGTCGCCTTTTATTTTTGTAATATAAAATATCAGTCTGTATCAGGTAACATTTTTCCAGAATGTATTTTTTGCATTTTGAATGATATTAATGAGGCTGGCTCCATCCATATCGACATGTCTGTAGAGATCACTCTATCAAGGGTAATATATACTAAAACCATATTTAGGTATCATACACAGTATGCTGTAGATTAACAAATATGTTTTATTCATCCAATACTTGAAAGGAAAATATATCTACTCTGTATTTATTTAATCATTTAGTCATTAAAATGAATGAAATTATGAATTTGACAAAGTGAATCCTGTCTTGTTTTGAGTGGAAGTTTATTTCTGAAGACTGCTGTCTGTTGTTTCTAATAACATTTCTTTGTTTCATTTATTTTTGTATCTACATTCTGGTTTTCTGGTTTGTCTTTTATTAAATCTTGTGGTGATTGGACTTAAAGGGATAGTTCAGGTTTTTTGAAGTTGGGTTATATAAGGTCTTTATCCACAGTCAGTGTATTACAGAGCGGCTCCAGTTTGGAGAAGCAGACAGAGGTACCGACACAGAAGCTAAGCAATGTAATGTGGTTTACAGGAGCAGAAGCAAAACTGATTTTAGCCCTTGAAAAAATCTATCAGTTTAAGTGAATGCTATATTTCGACAAGGAACTGAAGCTATTATCTATGCTGCCTTCAAATCCACCAGACTCCAATAATAAAAACAGTAATTTTACCTTGCAGAATGTGACGGTCCCTCTATTTGGTTCCTCTGCTTGGGTTGTGTTTTCTCATGCCAGGGCAGCAGACTTGACTGAGTGCATAGGACACACCTGGGCCAGCTGTGCGCCATACACACAGATCCACAGTCAGTCCTTGCTGGCAGACCTCCTCACACCTCTCTGGGCTCTTAAGCCCCATTTCCATCGAACACTTTCGGTATGGTACCTTTGGAACCAAGAGTAACCCTTCAGACGTGGTACCAAGACCCTAGTGTTTCCACTGCAAACAGTCCTCTTAAATGTGGGCGGGGTTGTTGTCACTCACTGCTCCGTCCAGCACTCGCTGTATTTCCTCATCAGCGGTGACACAGATGGAAGTCTGCACCTGGTTTATCGTCCACAGAACGAGGCTGCACGCCCACATTTTCAAAACAAAATAGAACAGGCTGCAGTGAGAGTCTCTCTCCATGGGATATTTAAAAATAGCAGCTTTGTGCATTTAGTCCTTCTCAGGCAAGCTCAGGGGTTTAGGCTCAATCCCAATTTCACCCCTTAGCCCTACCCTTTAGTTTTGCGCATTCACGTGAGGGGAAGGGGTATCCAAATTCTCCTGTGGATCGAGGGCGAGTGCCAAGGGCTAGGGCCAAATAGCCCTTAAAACGAAGATTTTCCTGGACCACACTAGCAACCAAGGGGTACATGGAATTTTCCCACAATTAAGTGTGAACATTGGCAAAATGGCGCAACGAGCAGCCAAAACGAGCTATAAATGTATACATGAATGTTTACACGTTTAGGTAAGCTCGTTAGCTAACGTTAGCGTTGATTAGCTCGGTTAATGTTAAATACAACAAAACGTCTATTTACAGCCAATCCATACATACCAAAAACTGGTCCATCAGCACTTGTATGCGTCAAAGATATCTTCTCCTCCTTTGATTTCTGCGATTTGTGGACAGCCGCAGAAATAACACTAAAACCCAAGCAATGGACATTACAACGTTTGCAGATGGCATTTTGAATGTTTGTGATAAACACTTGTCGCCTCTGCTGACGTAGCAGCCAGCTAGCAACAACGTTTGATGACGTAGCAGTAATCAAGTGCTGTCCCATTTCTTAGGGGAATATCTTCACCCCTAGCCCTTGGCACTCCGTTTTGAGGGGCAAGGGGTAGACGAAGGAGTAGGGGTAAAAATGAGGATTGAGCCTTAGTGTTGCTGGAGCCCACAGGAACAACACTCCACAACGCTTTCTTTTTTCTCTTCAAACACTTAAAGATCCACTCATTACTGAAAGTGTGTGTCATATAAAAACTAAAGTGATGGTCGAAGTTGTCACAGTGAAATTTAAGGTGTGCTGATGGATTCACGTCATCAACTCATGCACTGAGTAACATTACAAGTTAACGTTCCACCTTAAAAGTTGCTGGCATTCGGCCCAGTGAATGAAGTTATTTTTTCTCAGACTCCACCTCCTGTGAGAGGCAGCAAAACATCCTTTCATTTTATAGTTACAGTTTACTAATAAAACTCTCCACAGTATGAACAGTGGTTACATGAGCCTCAAAACCAGACACAACTCACCCACTTGAACATATGAGGTCCAGTTGGCATCTTGACTATTAATATTCATAATCTGGTATTTCTCCATGAGTTTATTGTGACCACAAGCAACCCTGTCTCCTTGAAATTACGTGTGTATAATACTAAACTGCTCTCTTAATTATATTGTTGTGGCAGCGTAGTTGCTTCTTGGATAATGTTGAGACACAACATTTCTTTAAGGTACAGGGACACTAAACAACATCGTTCAGTCAGCGTTATGAGAGGCTGAATTAAGACATAGTCAAGGGGGAGTGAAGCAGAACGACCTGCTGTCAGTCACCTGAGTTTGTTTTCCCATATAGCACTGATGAAGCAGGATGACATCATCAAACTGTCCAGAACTTAAGGACAACAATCTATCAGGACTGAATGTGTTATCAACAGTAAACAAGGATTTGTCCACGTTGCACAAGGGTCAGACCCCATCCTGTGACCTTTAACCTCTGTGGGAGGAGGGGACGGAGGTCCATGTGGCGTAACATGATGAAACAGTACGGAGCAGTGTGAGGCTGTGTCAGTTCAACAGCGATGAAACCACAGAGATCATTCACATTATATCTTCTATTTCAAACTGCACTGACGCCTAATCTCTGTAGCTTCACTTCGTCTTATCAACTGATCACACAGTTACTGATACCTTTATCTCACCTGATCAGTTCCTTGATGTCATCTCATTTTATTCATCTCACTCAGTCTTTAATCTTTTTCTCTTTTAACCATTTGTGTTAAAAACTCTGCTCTGGGTTTAAACATGAAGAATTATTAATCAATCAATCAATCAATTTTATTTATAAAGCCCAATATCACAAATCACAATTTGCCTCACAGGGCTTTACAGCATACGACATCCCTCTGTCCTTATGACCCTCGCAGCGGATAAGGAAAAACTCCCCAAAAAAACCCCTTTAATAACTGAGGAGGGATCCCTCTTCCAGGACGGACAGATGTGCAATAGATGTCGTACAGAACAGATCAACATAATAAATTAACAGTAATCCGTATGACACAATGAGACAGAGAGAGAGAGAGAGATGCAGGTAATGACAGTAGGTTACAACAACATTATTGAAAGTAACAATGTTATAGTTATAGTTCTGGCTACTGTGGTACAATATGTTGAAAGTATGTATTAATATCTGGCAGTATACATATGTGACAATAGTCATATGTGTATAATAACAGTAGAAGTATGACTAATGACTAATGATGGCAGTAGCAGCTGGAGGCATCTGGCAGGACCACGGCAGCAGCACAACCACACACGTCAT